TAAGTATTGGAAATACTAAAACCTTTACATATCTATATTTCGTTAATGATTATTTCATTAAAAAATTACGATATGTAGATAAGTATGTCAAGTATTACTCATAAGTATCTAGTTAAGAAGTATTTGTGGAGTTAAAGTGTATTTTTAAATCGAATCACACTCGTTTAGGAAAAAATAAGTGGAACACGGATGAAATTATAATATAATACAGTATTCTTACACGAAAGTAATCTTGTATATGAAAGTTTTCTTGTTATCGTATATTACCTAGCTAAATATACGAAGAACTAAGGTATATATATATATAGTTGTATTTATAAAGCTTTATCGATTGTATAACAACAGACAGAAAAGTAATTCGATAAAGTGTTTTGCACTTGACCGACCACCTTTGTTGAAAAGCATTTCAATCATCGTGAATATCGAAGTGACCATCGTCGAGTGTGCGTTACATGCAAACGAATCAGATGCACGGTAATTAAATTTTATTTCCTGTCTAACATCGAATACATTTCGAAACGTTACGATCCGTAAAGTTCTGTTAGACGTATTCTCAGTTAATCAAACGAATCAAATAAAGAATTGACGATTCGTTTAATCGTTCTTCCAAATTCTTCGAAAGTCTGATCTTAACTATTTTATAACTATCTTCGGTAGCCGGCCTTTGCAAACAATTTTCCTTCTACTTTGAGTCCACTCGACTTAAGTTCAAGGAGAAAATAGAAGTCCTTTAACGGCTCTAAAGACGTCGAAAAAGTACGTGACGAGAAAATTAAAATGACCAAGCTTAAGAGAACGATCGTTGAAAACGATTAAGAGCTTTGTCAGTAGTTCATGAATCTTATCTGCCATTAGATTCTACCCCTTCTATAAAACGTATTATTAATTTTTTTTAACAAGATTTACTTAACTAAAATGATACACGACACATATTTTTCTTGTCATATATTATATAAACGACAATATGAAAACCAAGAAATGGACTGTCAAAGAAAGAATAAGGGAAAGGGGGAAAAGAAAAC